GATTGATGGATAGTTGCTTGTCCAATCAATTATGGCGCCCGGCAGATTACCGACATATGAGTCACAGCCGATTAGTTATCGACATCTTTATGTTTAATATTCTGTTTGCCGCTAAGCGCGTTTTTTTTGTATTCATGCCCTACCGGCAGTTTTTTTTCTCTCTAACCGTTTTTTATATACGATGTGTCGTCAAGTCTGTTTTTGACTAAATAAACCATCTTTCAATCATTTATTGGAATTCACTCATTCCCAACAATTTTCTTTTCCAACTAAAGTAGTGAGTTTAAATTCTCCTTCAAAACATTATAACAAAATTGTGTTACCTTACTCAATTCAAGTATTACCACAAAAAAGTAAAGAATTAACCATATAAAATAAAAAAATTTAATTTAAATAGAACAATTTTTCATGTAAAAATACTTGGCTATGGATTGAAAGATGTGGGCTGAAGCTGTGAACACTGCAGTCTACCTTAAAAATCGTTCTCCTTATAAAGCAGTTATAGAAAAGACGCCTGAAGAACTTTGGACCGGCAAGAAAGTTGACTTAAATCATTTAAAAATGTTCGATTGTTTGGCGTATGTTCCCAGAACTCAAAGAGACTAGTGAGTTACCAAAGGAAAACCACATATTTTTGTAGGTTATTATGAAGATACAGAAGAATATAGATTGTTTAAAAAAAAGGGAAAGTTATGAAGGCACGAGACGTTGTCTTTTTAGAAGACCAGTTTTATGTCAACAAGAAAGAAATTAAAGAAGATACAGACACGAATACTGTTCAAATTAATTTGACAGAAAAAGAACATGCAGAGGATTTTTTTAATGCTGGCCCAAATACTAAAAGAAATTGAAGAAATTTCCAAATAAGAAAGTTATCCTGAAGAAGAAGAAATTGAAAACTTCAATAACAAAAATATTGGAACAGAAGTTGAAATTGAAAGACATGAAGAAATCGGAGAAGAGGAAAAGAAGAAGAGATATCTAGCAGCAACAAATTTCCAGATTTTATAATATCATTCGACTCAAACTACTCAGGAACCGAACGATCCCAAAATTTAAAAAAAAGCCATAAAACGAGAAGACAATTTCCAATGAAAACGGACAATGAAAGAGGAGCTCGAGTCAATGGCAAGCAACAAAGTTTGGTTACTAGTAAATCCTCCGAAGAACAAGAAAATAGTAAAAAATAAATAGGTGTTTTGCAACAAAAGAAATTCTGCTCGTGAGATGTCAGATATAAGGCTTGACTCATGGCGAAAGGCTTTATACAAAAATTTGGCATTGATTATTTCGAAACTTTTTTGCCTGTAGTAAGATATTCGAGTATAAGATTGTTAATTGCCTTTTCTGCTAAAGTATGTTTAGACATAGATCATTTAGATGTGGACATGATCTTTCTAAACGGTGAGCTATCGAAAAACATATACATGTTTCAACTCAAAAATTTTGTAGATCAAGATAACAAAGATAAGATGTGTTTGTTAAATAAGGCAATATATGGCTTAAAAGTCTTTTAGAGTATGGAATAAAAAGATTCAAAAAGTACTATTTAAACTTGGTTTTCAGTCCAAGTTTGAAGCATGTATATTTTTCAAAGCTACAGACAAGTTTCTCATAATTATTGCGTTGTATGTTGATGATTTTCGTATTTTTTCTAATAATAGCTCTGAAAAGATAAAATTAAAAGAACAATTGATGAGAAATTTTAAAATCAAAGATTCGGGATAGGTCAAGGGAGATGCCTAGGATTAAACATTAAAAAAAATCAAAATGTGATAAGTGTGAATCAGAAAGATAATAGTTTAGAGTTACTTTTAAAATTTGATATGTCAGAAGCGAAATTAGTCTCAATTCCTATGAAAGCAAATGCAAAGCTAAATTGTACTGACAAAGTAAATACTGATGTGCCTTATCAGCAATTAATAGGAGCTTTAATGTATTTAGTTGTAAATTCGAGACCTGATATTGCTTATGTAACTAGTTATTTAAGTCAATTCAATATTCCTCATACTAATCAGCACTAGAAAGCAGGAAAAAGAATTTTAAAGTATTTAAAAGTTAGCTTAATTGATTATTGTTTAACATGTAAAAGAACGACTAATATGCATATTACAGGCTTTGCTGATTTGGCGAATGATTCTAATGATCGAAAATCTTACAGTGGTTTCGTCTTTATGCTAGCAAATGGATCCATATCTTGGGAAGCTCACAAACAGCGCACGGTAGCGCTTTCTAGTACAGAAACAGAATATGTTGCTATCTCTGAGTCAACAAAAGAGGCAATTCTTGTTAACTTAAAAGGCTTGTTAAATAAACAAATTATAACGAGCCTATAGTAATTTTTAATGATAATCAAAGCGCTCAGAGGTTAGCATCTAATCTAGTCTTTCACAATAAAACTAAACATATAGATGTTAAATATTATTTTATCAGAGAAACTATTGAAAATAAACAAATAATATTTAAATATGAATCTACTGATAGAATAATAGCAGACATTTTTACGAAATCATTAAGTAACGCCAAACATCTTTTTTCTGTCTTACAAGATTTAGAAATTGAGTTACAATCAATAAAATATTATTTTTATTCACTAGATTAAGGGGAAGTGTTAGTAATCTAGTGAGTTCATGCAGATGTCATGATTGTGTGAGAACACTGGAAAGAGTATGCGTGTTATATTATATAAAGCATGAATAGCGCGCAACGTTAATGTTTTCTTTTGTTTAGTTGCTAAGGTATGCTTTTTTGTTTGCTCCCTTTTAATTGCTCTTTGCTTCTAACATTTAACAGTTCGTCATAATAAAATTATCTTGCTAAAACCTGATTCTAACATAAAAATGTTAACCAGTTATTTACAACACTTACGTCTTTTTTATGTGCCATGGCCTTTAAAGTTGAAGACTATTCAGATTAGGAAATCTGTCACATCAAGGGCATAGACAGTTACACAAATTCTCTGTTTTATAAACACGAATTCTCAGCTTTAAAAATTTTAACAATTTTCTGCTTTAAAAACACATTATTTTCTATATATTTTTTGTTTGTAGAATACAGTTTGTAAAGAATTTGTTTTTAAAGCAGAGAATTTGTGTAATTTTTTTGAAGCAGAAAATACTTATTCTAACCTCACTCACATGTTCCTCAATGTCATTGATGTGACAGATCTCCTAATCCGAATAGTCGTCAACTTTAACAATTAATAAATATTACGGTTCATGGGACTGAACGACATTTCGGCGAGATTCTTTCATTTTATGCAAAAACGCATCGAATAAACCGAATAAGCCTAATTTCATTGATTTTTGAGATGATGAAGTTAAATTGTATAATTACCAGAAAAAGAACAGAATAGTTGCTTTCCATTTACACACAAGTGAAACTGAGTCTGAAGTGAGCTGAGTATTTCATATTCAGATTAATAATGTCATTATTTCCTAACTTTGGTTATCATTATCAAAAAATTATCATATGACAACACAGGTTTATAACCTCACTTTTAAAGTGAGTTACGAGATTCACTAAAGCATACAATCTCGATCCTGTGCAGATTATAAACAAAAACTCAGTTAAATCTCATTTATCAAAATGCAAAAAAAAACCGCGCATTCAACTGAGTTATGATGAATCACAAGTGAAAATTATCTGAGAATCGATGTAAATGGAAAGCAACTAATATAAAAAAAGAACATATTTTTCTCCTTCTACAATTAATTACAACATCGAAATTACATTTCAAAATTAATATTACACAATTTTAGTGATTTAAAGTCATTTTCTGGAAAACTTTATTTTTTGATGTTATGTCACGATTGTAACAAATGACGGATATGATGGTTCGTTACCAAAATATGACACTAGTGAAAATTTTTCTCAGAATTTTTGTACAAATTAAAACACTTTTCTACTGAAAAAGTTAACACCTTTTCTTAAAATTTTTTATATATGTAGATAAATACTCAAATATTATAAGGTTTTTCATATTATAATTTCTGAAAAACAATATCTTGAATTTATTCAGATTTTGTAAGATTTTATCAAAAACTTTAGAATAAAAAATCTTAAAATATTTCAGTATTCACATATAGAATTCTAGAAAAGATGTAGACTTCTGATATTTCTGAAGTACCCCATTTTGTATTAAAAAATCTAAAAATAAAGAACAATAAAGGACAAAATAAGAGTCAAACATATTTTTTAAATTGTCACACAATTAAAAAGAATAAATTACAAATAGAGAAAAGTAGAATTGAAAAAATATAATAAAATAAAAACATAGTTTAAATAAACAAATAAATTACAAATAAATTATAAGTTTCGGCTGCCGAATTTAGCCCTCTTCAGACATTAACTTATTATAAAAATCACTGTACAAAATTAATTATCGGAAATGTTCGCATATTCAATATAATCACAATTCGAGTGAGTCTTGATATAAAACTCGATATTATTCACATACGATTGAACAGTCAAATGTGTTTCATATCTCTTGGAAAAAGTTCTAGTTGATAAAAAAGATAAAAAGACTTCTTACGGAAAAATAAACACAACCAAATTAATATACCTAATTCTAACAAGCAATTAAAACTCACCAAAAATCATATGTAAATTGTTCAAACAAGTGTGTCCATATAAGTATGAGAACCCAAAATATGTAAAGTTTAGTGGAACGCAGATGTGTAAGATGGACATTGTGTATCGATTATAATGTACACTGATACGGATCAATACGGACTGAGAGAAGAGACTGTCAGTATCGAAGAGTCAAACTTATTTACACTAGGTATATATGCCTTGTGAAGAAAAAAAAATCTAAAAATTTTTTAAAGTTACAAAATGATTAAAATATTCTGAAAATTTTTAAAATTTGCATAAAAACTCTAAAAAACTATATGAAAAATTCTGAGAAAAATTTTTACCAAGAGAGCGATATAAAGGAGACAGTTCCATCAAAACGAAAGTTGTGTTCAAATCCAATTACTGATTTATAATAAACCTACTTGACTTTTCTCTCCTCTGCTTTTCCAGGTTTGGTACGCTGGGCTCTATCACCCATACGAGTACCATCCAATTTTCCCACGAGAGACATAACCTCACCGGTAGCTTCATCTCGACTGCGTCTTTCTATTAACCGGACATCAGCTTGTAAAACAAGATTGGAATTCTGTAAATATTAACGCAATATAATGCAACAAAATCGCAGATACAGCACACTGTAAATGTAACGTCATAAATATCATATAAATTGCACATTAAAAGTTGTACATTATAAAAAAGTTAGCATAGTAAAATAATTAAAAATAATTATTATGTCATCATTAAAAAATAAACAATTAAAAATGAGAAGCACAAACCGCTTTATACTCGTATTGTAACTGACGTGCAGCAGCGTCCGCCATGACTTGTTTATTAGATGCGTTCAGTATAAATACTACACAATCTGCTATGACCGCTCAGTGAGCTATTGCACCTGTTTGATCTATATTTTGGATCTATTGGAATATGCCAATTAGATACAAGAGCTCAATGAGCGCTCATTGAGCGGTTGTAGTAATGGGTGCATCCAGAAGCACGATTGCTCACTGAGCGCTCAGTAAGCTCTTGCATTTGATTGGCATATTCCATTAGATCTAAAAATGTAATAATTACCAAACAAAACTCGTACTTGTGGATGCACCCCTTTTGATGCATTGAATGTACCTCTTGTTTGGTCTAAATTTTTAGGCTGCGTTCCGTTCCATGCATAATACGCATAATGCATCATTCATCCTTGTTAGTCACCGAATATTAAACAAGAACAAATGATGCATTAAGGTAAGTATTCATGGTGTCGCTCGTCACTCGTATTCAGCGACAAACTCATTTTCAGCGTCAAAATAAATCACGTGATAGAAACTGACGAATATCAAGTGTCAATTTTTATCACGTGACCTTTTTTAACGCTGAAAATTAGCGTCAAGCGTCATCATGAAAAGGCATCTGAAGCGTCGTACTATTTTGCAGCTGACAAATTTCCTAACCTCAATAATCGATAACTTTAACGTTTGATATCTTAGTTTTCGGAGCAGAGCGACACTTATTTCCGCCAGATTCTTTCGTTTCGTGCAAAAACGCGTCGAATAAGTCTAATTTTATTAATTTTTAGCCGCTCTAGCTAAACTAATTATTCCCATTTTTAACACACATTATTGAAATGATATAAACTGATACATTTGTAATCTTTAAATATAAAATGAGAATTAATCTTCAACAAAATTTCAAGCAGTTTTGTAGGTCACGGCATTTCTTGCTACATACATTAGTACGTACTATTATTTGCAATTTTGTATACATTATTATATGGTAATAAATTATGTAATATTAATAACGCGTTTAAAATATTGTTTATTTAATAATAATAATAATAATAATAATATTTGTAATAGCCCACAGAAACTCCAAAGAAAAATATAATCAACACGAGATTATTTGTGCCAGAACCAGAATATGACATAGATTTTGTATGCAATCCTGCAAACCGTGATATTATTTTCAGTAATATTAAAAATCGAAAAGGTATTGGAGATATTGATAAAGTTCTCGAATATTCTGGCAATGCCGAGAAGCAAGAATTGCTTTTGCAAGAATTAAGTAAAATACCAAATTGTACACATCCTGCAGTAATTGAGTACGGGGATGAACCAAGATTGCTAAAGAAATGTGGCAGAAAACCACAATTTGACTTTGAGCCACAAGAGTTTGCTGAACTTGCCACTAATTTAAAAGCAATAAGAACCCATACACTTGGTCCTGTTACCGGACAAAGAAGCTATATACTTTTAGGAGATTTAGCAGAATTGGAAGAAGCATTAGTTCAGTATACACTTAGAAGATTGATGAAGCATGGATTTAAATTATTGTCAGTACCTGACATCATTCTTACTGAAATAATCGAAAGATGTGGTTTAATAGTGAATAATAATCGGACTTTAGTATACAATTTAGATTCTCATTATGATGATAATTATAGTTTATCTGGAACTGCAGAAATGTCATTAGCTAGCAAATTGATGAATACTATAATTTCCTATGACACACTACCAATGAAATTGGCCGCTGTCAGCCGATGCTATCGTGCAGAGGGTTCAGGTTCTCTAGATGAAAGAGGAATCTATAGGCAAGAGATTATATTGTTATTAAGATTAACATATAAAGATAAACTTTAAATTTTTTTTAATTGATTTTATTTTTCAACTTAATATGTTTGGACAGAGTTCATCAATTTACTAAAGTGGAAATGTTTGTTTGCTCCAAACCAAATCAATCTGAGGAAGTGTTTCAAGATCTTCAAAATATACAAGAGGAATTGTTCTCTTCATTAGGATTGCACTTTCAAATAATGGATATGCCATCACTTGATTTAGGTTCATCAGCTTATAGGTAATGCATTATGGATAATTATATTCCTACATCTATATACAAGGTATTCCATTTTAAATCACAAGATCAGGACAAGATAAATAACAATAAATAAAGGGCAAAGTAAGAGTCAAGCACATTTCTTAAAATTGTCACACAATTAAAAAGAATAAATTACAAAGAGAAAAGTAAAATTGAAAAAATATAATAAAATAAAAACTTAGTTTAAATACAAATAAATTACAAATAAATTACAAGTTTCGGCTGCCGGATTTAGCCCTCTTCAGACATTAACTTATTACAAAAATCACTATACAAAATTAATTATCGGAAATGTTCGCATATTCAATATAATCATAGTTCGTGTGAGTTTTGATGTAGAACTCGACATTATTCACATACGATTGAACAGTCAAATGTGTTTCATATCTCTGGGAAAAAGTTTTAGTTAATAAAAAAGATAAAAAGACTTCTTACGGAAAAATAAACACAACCAAATTAACATACCGGAATTCTAACGAGCAATAAAACTTACCAAAAATCATATGTAAATTGTTCCAACAAGTGTGTCCATATAAGTATGAGAATTCATTAAAATATGTAAAGTTTAGTGGAACGCAGATGTGTAAAACGAACATTGTGTATCGATTATAACGAATCGCTTTATTTTTGATTGGTACCGCAAAGGGACCTATCTTTTCAGGGAGATTTTTAAATTTCAAGTCAAATCATCCTATTGCACAAAAGAAAAGTACAATTTTTTCGCTAGTTGACAGAGCTTTTCTACTTTCTGACTTTATGTTTCATACAAAAAATTTGACATTTATTATTAACGTTTTATTAGATAATGACTACCCATTAACCTTTATTTTTAACACCGTTAATCAACGTACGAGAAAGTTACTTAAAAATAGACACACAATATGTAAAGATTTAGTTGACAATGTCTGTGCGAATGAATCTGCATTTTGGCTTACGGTATCATTTATTCCTTTTCACACAGAAAAATTTAAATGATTCAATAAAAACGACATCACGGTATTTTTTCATAGTCCTAATAAAATGGATAAATATATTAAAGTACAAAAGGATATTTGTCCCTATACATCTAAGAACAATGTAGTTTAAGATATCGTGTAATAATTGTGATGTGTCGTACAGAGATACGCAAACAGACAGACAATTGAAAATCAGAATTACGAAACATCGTAATCATATTAGACATAACACTTCTGTTCGTTCTGTCATAACGGAGCACAGGCTGCAGTATAATCATGATTTCCAATGGAATAATGTTAAAATTTTGATGAAGAAGAGCCTCGCTATAGGAAACGCTTAATTTCTAAGATGCTCAATATTTAAAAGCAGAAAAATAGTTTAAATTACAAACTGACACTGAAGGTCTTCACAAGGCATATATATA